CCAGGCCCTACCCACGTGTGACCAGGCCCCTACCCACGTGTGACAGCCCCAATCCATGTGTGACCAGCCCCAACCCATGTGTGACCAGGCCCTACCATGTGTGAACCAGGCCCCTACCCATGGTGAAGACCTGGCCCACGTCCTCGGAGTCATTGGCAAAGGCCCGGAAGTAGTGAATGGCCAGAATGCTGTAGAAGACCAGGCTGTTGTTGCCAATGTCTGCGTCCAGGGCCAGCACCTGGATCAACTCCGAGCCCATCTTGGCGTCAGTGGCCACTCCTGCAGGAATGGGCGGTGGTGTAAGTGGTAGGGCAGGGCCCCCCCACCCCGGCACCCAGGCTCCCGTCCTGCACCTGCAGTGTACTCGGCCTTCGTGAAGCGCGGGGGCTGGTCGTTGATGTCCTCTAGCACCACGCGCACCTCCTGCAGGGTGAGGTCCGTGACCAGGTCCAGGTCCGGTGCGGGTCCCCGGGGAGGTGTCCAGCTGCGATTGCTCGAGGCCTTGACGATGAAGGAGAAGACAGCTTCGCGCTCCCGATCCAGGTCCTTTAGCACCAGCAGACGCCCGTCAGGCTGAAGATGGAAATTCTTCTCTTCGTTCCCAGCTGAAGGTGGGACATGGCACAGGGTGAGGGGCAGGGCACACGGGCCATCTCCAGCCCCGGGGCAGGCAGGGCGCTAGTCCCGTCGGCCCCACCTGCGATGAAGTAGTACACGATGGCGTTGGAGCCCTCGTCTGCGTCCACGGCGCCGGTCACGTTGCCCACGAGGGTGCCACGCGGTGAGTGCTCGGGCACTGTCAGCAGCTGGTACTGGGGGCTGCCTTTCTGCAGGGAGAGGGGAGTGTCCTCACAGGGGCAAGGCAAGGCCCGGGCTCCCAGCTCCTGCCACAGGCCCAAGGCAGGACTTTCGTGGGTGCTGAGGGAGCTTTTGTCCACACCTTATGGGGTGAGGAGAGGGCTATAACCTCAAGGGGGCAACGGCTGGGCCTGGGAGACCTCAGCTCTGCCCTGATGTCACCCAGTGGCATCCTCTATGAGGGCAGGGCTGTGCTTGGCACGTTCTCTGGTCTCCCAATACCTCAGTGGATGTTTGGACCAGGGGTCACTGTCTCATGCACATGAGTCTCCAGGGAACATCTCATCCCAGATGCACACAGGGAAAAGCGCCAAGTCAGAGCCCGAGTCCAAGGAGGGGCTCAGCCCAACTCAGGGAAGCAGAGCCGACTTTCCGGCTTCCCGTGTACAGTGTGGCACTAAGGAGGGGTCAGCTCCAGGAGTCCGGCATTTTGCTCCGTTTTGGCAGCTGGGTAGTGATTTGAAATAGTAGTGGCTCAATAAGTATTTGTTCTATTCAGTGTATGCAGGTTTCTGGGTGCAACCACACATGCATATGGTGAAGGGTGCAGAAGGGAGGACATGCACATGTGTGCCTGCAGGCAGGGAGTCCCTGTGTGGGCGTGACGGGTGCGGGGCATGGGTGAGAGCTCACTGGAGGCCTCAGGAAGAGGGGCTCGTTGTCATCGATGTCATCCAGGGCCACCTGCATGGGCTGCATGGTCTCATAAGGCACTGGCTGGCCCAGGTCGCTGGCCACCAGGATGAGCTAGAGGTGGGAGGACACAGTCAGAAGAGGAGCCACAGGGCCCCAGAAGGGCACTCCCGGGGGCCAGACCACCCTCTTGAAGACATTCTAGGTGAGAAGGTGGTGGCCCTGCACCCAGAGGAAAGCCCCTCCCCGGCCCCGCCCCTTGAGCTGGCCCCGCCCTTACGCTGTACACCGCCTGCTTCTCACGGTCCAGGCGCTGCGCGGTCTGGATGAGGCCGCTGATGGGGTCAATGGTGAAGTACTCCCAGTCCCGGTTGCCCGTGGTCTTCAGGAAGCTGTAGCGCACGGCCCCGTTGAGGCCCTCGTCCTGGTCTGTGGCGTAGACCTCGTACACGTTGGAGCGCAGCGGGATCTCCTGTGGAGGGCAGGGGCGGGAGGCTGCTGGGGCATCTGGGAGAATCCCAGCTCCCAGCCCCCCCTGGAGCTCTCATTCTTTCTCGTCCTGCAGCAGCATGTCCTTGCCACCTTTCCGCATCCTTAGGAAATGGCTGCCTGTTGGCTGGACTCTACTGGAGTCTGAGCATCTGCTAGAACATCCCCTCACCCCACCCCTAGCCAAGGCCACTGCCCTTTGATGGTTCAGCCTGGGACCCTCCACGCTCCAAACTCTCTTGGGGTGACCGCCTGTCCAGCGGCTACCCGCATCCCTCCGACTCCATTGCGTGCAAAGGTTTAGAAGAGGCCACAGCCATCCTCTGTTCCGGGTCTGTCTTGCTCTCTGTTACCCCAATCACAGGAGCTCTAGGTATCCCCAAACACCATCCATTTAATGGGGTACCTGAAAATGGGGGGCAGGTAGGTAGGGTGACACGGTGGATGCAGACTGGACACCTGGGTTCTAGTCTGTTATAATACCATGTGACCCAAACATGCCACTAAACCTCTCTGAGCCCCAGTCTCCCATATCCCTTGAATTAAGTCTAAGATATCAAAAAGCGTAACTGATGTCATACACTGACCCAGGCATGATAAAGCTGCATGGCACACAAGCAAAAGAACAAGTTTCTTTGCTTTTAGTTGAAAAATTACCGGCTCAGCATGGTTTCAGTGTGTATCTCATTGACCATGACTATCGGACACTCTGAACGGCAGTTGCAGTTCATTAATAGAAAGTGGATGACAAACAGATAATTTCTTAAGAGATGTTGGTTGTTTGGGAGACATGAATCTTTCAAAATACAAAGCCCTTGAAGGGAAAAAGTTAGTAAATGGGGCCTTTGGTATGAAAAAGAACTAGATTATTATAAATGTATACCCTGCCTCATTCCACAAAGAGGATTTAAGGCAGTTTACCAGAAAGGATCTATACTAATAAAAGGGTAATATGCTAATTAGACCAGACATCTTCCAGACGACCTTCCAGACAAAGCCACGGTGGCAGGGCCGAGGCAGAGGCAGTTAGGGGGGATTAGGCTGGCAGGTATGTGTCCGGTTAGGAGCTAGTGGTCCCGGATTGCGAGAGGGATGTCCAACTGCTGGTTCGGCCTAAACCGGCAGTAGACATGCCCCAAGGGGTCCCAGATTGGAGAGGGTGCAGGCCAGGCTGAGGAACCCCCCCTTCCCCCCGTGCACGAATTTCGTGCACCGGGCCTCTAGTAAATTATAAGAGTGAACACATTTTTTAAAAATCAGGGTAGACAAAAGAAATGGTTGACAGGAAAATGGGAACTGAGGGATGGGAAGCAAGGTGTGTGTGCTAAGACCCTGCAGGGCCACTCAAGGTAGGCTGAACGCTCTGAGCTCCCTTAGTGGACAAAGCAAAGAGGACCGACCACTCAATCATCACAACAGACTCAAGTTGCAGCAAGTCACAACATAAAAGCACAGTGTGTCCTAGAGCTCTGCCCTGCAGAACTTTGTTTTGCGGGACCTCCAAGAGGAGACACAGTGACAGCAAGAACTCGGTGCTGACAATATGAGATGCAGAGACTTGCGGACGTTTGGGGAGCAAACAGCAAGTGGGAGGTACCCTGATTGTACCACCAAGAGGCATTGTGGGCTGGGTGCTGAGAGGAAGGCAGGAAAGGGTAGGAGACAGAGAAAGACTTCCCTATCTTTACAAGGCAATTTAGAGCGAGGAATGAAAGAATTGGGGAGTTTCCGGAAGCTCAGCCACTTCCCCTGGCTTCTTGTTTTGATGCTCATCCTCAGCTCCCAGGCTGTCTCCACTTGGTGTCAGCAGGAACAACAGACACTTGGAAGGGGCCTGGATGTTTATCTCCAGACCAGGGTGGGGGAGTGGGTTTCTGGGGACTGTTCTGGGCAGACATCTAATAGCTGGAGATGATTGGTCCCATGTTGCAGAGGGAAAACAAACTCAGAGACGTCACTTGCTCAAGGTAGTTTGGCTGGTAAGCGATAGAGTTAGACTTGAACCCAAGACCTTTTGCGGACACAGCCCATATTGCTAACCATTGTTCAGCACTGCCCTGGGCAGCACTGAAGAAGTCTGTTCCCTCCTCTGGCCTCAGTTTCCCCACCTTCACAATGGGGCCCGCCCTTTCGCTCCCGGGCACGACTGCGGGATGAAGTGGGCTGGATATGGGGAGGGGCCTGCTGTAGGCAGGAGGCCTGGGAGACACGTACCTCTTTGATGTGGATGATGGTGCCGTTGGGGGGGCGCACAAAGACTGGGCGGTTGTCATTGACGTCGATGACCTCCACCAGGAGCATGGTCGTGCCCCAGAGCGGGGGCTCGCCGCCGTCGGTGGCCACCACGGTCAGGTTGAACCTCTCGTAGGAATGCAGTGGCCGCTTTGTGGTCACCAGGCCTGAGTCCATGTCCACGTGGAAGGCCTCTGGCAGGGGGTGGCAGAGAGCAGGCATGTCTCTGGCTGAGACCTCCTTCCATGGCAGCCTGCCACTCCCCCCCTCCCCACCCCTCTCTGATGGCATCACAGGTAAGGAGCCGGCTACGTACCCTCACCAGGGCCCTCAAGGGAGTACGTCACTTCCCCGTTGGAGCCCTCATCCTGGTCGGTGGCCATCATGGTGATGACCGAGGTGCCCGCTGGTTCATTCTCATAAACGCTCGTGCTGAACTGCGGCTTGGAGAACTGTGGCCGGCAGTCATTGACGTCTAGCACCTGAATCACCACCTGGGGTGGGGTGGGGGGTGAGGGGGAGGTTGAGGTCAAAGGTCGGGGGCATATTGGGAGCTACTTCAGGTGACCCAGTCACAGAGGAGTAAGCGGAGGTGGACAGTGCCCACTCTTGCAGTGTGACCTCAAACCATTTATTTGAACCCTGAGCCTCAATGTCCTTAGTTGTACTTTGGGGACAATATATCTTCCCTCTCAGGGGTTGTGAGGCTCCCGGTGACAGTGCGTTCCAGGCTGTGATGGTGGGCAGTGCCCGGCCTGAGGAAACGCTCAGCAGCTGGTACTGTGAGGAGCAGGTACTCTGTGTCTGGGCCCTGAGGCAGGAAGCCCTCCTGCCCCCACCTCCTCTGCCCTTTGCTCCTTCCCTCAGTGCCCACACCTCGCACTCTAATCTCGGGACCGTAACGCTGGATGCGAGTCCTCCACCCCCGAAGGCTCCCTCTTGGCTGGGATTGTATCTGGCCTGGGACTTGGCTCTCTCTGCTGACCCCACCGTCCAGGGTGGGTCCCACGGACACAGCAGGCCAGGAGACCCTCCCTTCCCCTCTTCCCCCCGACTCACCACAGCCCTTGGAGGGAGGCAACCTGCGTTTTCTGACTCCTAGTCCTGTGCTCCTCCCTACACAGCACGTGGCTATGTGACCAGGGGCAGGATCCGATGTCGTGAGTGCTCCCAGCCCCTCCCCCATCTGCTAAGAAAACTTGCCCACCAGCTCCTCACCCAGGGGAGATTTTTGGATGGTTAGTTAGGTTATTGTGGGGAGAGCTGAATGCAGAAGGACATGACTGGACGAGGCAGAAAGAAGGGGGAGAAAGAAAGAGAAAGCAAAGCCTCACGGAGTAGGATTTGGGGTAGGAATGGGGTAGAGCTTAGAAGGTGAGCCACTGGCCTCAGAGCACCTGTGTGGACGCTGGACCTGGGGTTGTGAATCTGGTTCCTTGTTAATGTTCTTTAGAAAACACAAATAAAGGAAACTGCTTTATAATTATGCTTGGTGGCCAGACTGCGTTTCCCTCCATGGGACACACGGGCACTCTGTGAGCCCCGGCTTTATCTGGGTTACACCCAGGCATGTCCCTCTGCCTCAGCAGAGGTTTGGCACAAGAGATTTCTGCCAGAGTCCCCGTCTCCCTCAGCCACAGCCACTGTGACCCACCCGGCTAGGCTCTTGCCTTCTCCTTCCTGCCACCACGTCTCTGAGGGGAACAGGTGGCTCTTCAGTCGTCAAGCTCTAAAGGCTCTTCTTGCTGCCGCCACAGCCCCAGTCCCGGAGTCGCTGGCCTAGCGTGGCACCCCTCACCTGCACCGAATTTTCTCGACGGTTGCTGGCTACATCCCCAGGGTTGTCTTTGGCCAAGGCAGTCAGGATATAGTGGTCCTTCTTCTCCCGGTCCAGGGAGGACAGCACATAGATGTCGCCCTAGGAGGAGGAGGAGGGTGGAATCAGGGCCTTCATCCGTTCAGCAGATATTTACTGAGCATCACTGTGTGCCAGACCTGCTGTGGGCTCTGGAGATACGGCGCTGAGCAGAAGAGACAACAGCCCTGCCCCTATGGAGCTCTCATTCTAGCCCTCACTTCCCAATCCACCTGGAGAGGGACAACAGCCCAGGCTGGAGCGCGCTACCTGGCCAGGTATATGGTCGTGTGCCATAGATATTCACTGTTCATAGTGCCAGGCCAGGAGCGTGTCTGATTGCTCACACCAAGCAGGAAGGACAGAACCCTGCTGAGAGGGCAGAATGAGGGGATGTGGGCAGGAGTGGGGGCAGTGGGGAGGGGATCCAGGTCCAGCCCAGCAACTGGGGAGGGCCCTGCTGACCAAACACCCCTCGGCCACAGGGCTCTTTCTGTGCTGAAATAGCAGCCCATTTGCAGACATCTGAAACCATCACCCCTCCTTTCTCTTGAGTTTCTGCTCTCCCACAGTCAGACTCGTGGGAGCGTGGGGGAGGTACTGGGAACAGGGCCACATATACACCAGTAGGAGGCGCTCAAACACTGTGCTCACTGTCTGCAGGGCTGCCTATGCCTCTCTTTGGACAGTTTCAAAAAGTGGTCACATGGACTCGAATCAAGTTTGCTGGTCTGCTGGGGACACAGAGCAGAAGTTTTTGTCCCACAAAGGGCTAGTTCCCAAAGATTTTGGCCACTTCCTCCACGCCTGCTGGGACAGAAAGGCCTCAGTCTACATGTCTGGGACTCTGAGAACAGGGCTGACTGAGCTAAAAACCTTGGAGATTACAGATCTCCAGGTGGCAGGACCCAGACACAGGGGGAAACCGCAATACTTTTGGTGGCTTCTCAGCCTGTGACCCTGGGCCCATTGCACTCCCCACTCCCAAACCCACGCCCTCCAGTGCCCGCTTACCGTGGTGGGGTTGATGGCAAACTTGCCCTCTCCATCCACAAGGCTGTACTCAATGACGGCAAAGTTGCCTGAGTCGGCATCAGAAGCACTGACCGTCAGGATGACTGTGCCTACGGGCACATCCTCATAGACGGCTTCCTGGAGCCCGATGGGCAGGGGGAGAGAGCAGCCAACGTTAGTTCTCCAGTCCATGCCCTGCGCTAGGAACTCATTGATATAGACAACCCAGGGCATCAAGCTGCTGATGGGGCCGTCACTACCGTGAGGCTTAGAGGCTGGTCGGGTGGTAGCGAAAGATGACCAAAGGCCCCAAGGCATGGGCACAGGTCCAAGACCCACCAGGCCTGGCCACCCACCTGGTAGGAAGGCTGGTCAAATATGGGGTTGTTGTCATTGATGTCCACAATCTCCAGGTAGACAGGGATCTCGGCTGCCCGGGGTGGGGACCCATTGTCTGAAGCCCTCACAGTAAAGTTGAGCCAGTGCACTTCCTCATAGTCCACCGTCCGGTTGGCAATGACCTTCCCTAAGACACAGAGGCACACCCAGCGCCATTTTGGCCATTCCTCACTTACAAAGCTCTCCACAGTATGAAGAGAAGGATCTAGAGCTCTGAGGGGCAGGTGTGGTCCCTTGAAGGAGGAGGACGGTCAGTCAGCCCTGCCCAGTGGCAGGTCAGAGGGCTGAGAGCAACTGGCATCAGCCGTTCTCTTTCCTGGAGGGGCGGGAAAGCTTTTCACATGTCAAATAGATGGACATCAACATGCCCAGGGCCTCCTCTGAGATACTCCCTCTTGGCCTTCTTCCTAAGTGATACTAACATAGTCATCCCTCCACAACCTCAGGTTTCAATCCGCTGTTGGCTGAATCTGTGGATATGAAGCTGTGTATATGGATGGAAGGCTGACTGTGGGACTTGAGCATCCATACATTTTGGTACCCCTGGGGAAGTCCTGGAACCGATGCCCCTTTGATACCAAGGGACAGCTGTAGTGAAAGCTTGGGTGGTAGAGAGAGAGGGTGGTGGAATATTCCAGGTTTCCAGCAGATCTTAAAGGGGCCTTCCATCCCAACCTAGGACAAAGCATTTTGTCCTTTCCTCTAGTCTGGGCATCTGGCAGGAACATTTGCCATATTGGCTCTGGCCCAGCCCATTGAGGGGCCATGGTGGGGCCACAACTGGAGGGTGAGAAGTGGGCCATGGTCCCTCTGGGAGGGTAACAGGCACACCTGTCCCCCAGCCCTACCTGCCGAGGAGTCTTCCAGTTGAACGTAGCCTGGGGGCATCAGGTCCAGCAGGCTGTAGGTGATCAGCCCATTGAGGCCCTTGTCGGGGTCCACAGCTGAGACAGCGATGAGCGTGGTGCCCGGGGTGGCCCCCTCCAGGACCTTCTCTGTGTAGTAGGTGATCCCAAAGGGCTTGAACCGGGGTGTGTTGTCATTGACATCCAGGATGTTGACTGTCAGCTTGGCTGGGGTGAAGGCAGGGGGTGAGGGTGCCGTGAGGGACACCAATATGGCTGAGCCTTCCTAAGCCTCAGCTTTGCCTGGAGAGGATGGCAGCACCTCACAGCCCTCCTGGGAGCCCTGTAGCCTGACCCACGCTGGAGTGGTGGGTCGTGACCCTTGGCCCTGGTCTGGTCTCATTCTTCCATAAGGAAAGGAGCTGGGGTTCTACCACCCGCTGAGTCACCTTGGTGGAGCCCCCGGCCTACTGTGCCTCAGTGTCCTAACCTGTCCCATGAGGCCCTTCCATGATTCAGCCTTCTGCTTCCTGAGTCATGACCTCTCTAGGACCAGCCCTTTGTCCTCTGAGTGTGGGACATGTAGGTGAGCACGTCTGCCCTTCCTTCCTGAAAACTTGGTCCTCTGGGCAATAAAGATAAGCAGACATGCAGACATGCCTCTAGCAGCCCCTTCCAGCTCATGCCTCAGGCTCAGGCACGATGGCCTGTGCCGGCCTGCAGAAGGCAGCAACTGTTCCCCTCTCTTCTCTGTCATGGTGGCCGTGCACCCCAATATGGTATCTGTGGCTTCCATCACCTTCCCTTGTGCTTTCCTTCCTAGGACCCTGTGGCTTCCTATCAGATCTGGGGTTCCTGTCTCACATCCTCGTTACCAGTTCTGATAACGAATTCCGACCTAAGTCTCTAACCATCCTTTTCTCAGTTCCCATCCAGCCTCCACCAAGCCTCCTTCTCACTCTGAGCCTTAGGTTTCATGAATCCCCCAATTCTTGGCTTCTGGATCCCCTACTGCTGAGCTCTGCCTAACATCGGGGACACACGGCCATCCTGGGCCTCACTGTAGCTGCCACCTTTCACATCCCTCTGGGTCCTGCTGCTTCCTTCCTGGGGCCAAGCCTTTGCTGTTCCCAGCCTGCCCCTCCTGCCCAGATCAGCTCCGAATAACGAATGGGAGGTGCCTGTGGGGAACCTTACCATTTGGCACGCTGACAGAGCGCTCTGGTAGGTCGCTGGCATTGTCAATCACCGAGAGAGTGACCTCATAGGTGGCAACCAGCTCCCGGTTCAGGGGAGACTTCACCAAAACAGACCCTGTAGACCAGATCAGGTCAGGTTCAGCCTGAGGGAAACCCCCTAAAATCTGTGCCTCCTAGGGGGTACTCCTGGCCAACCCACTCAACCCCAACCGAGGGCAATGGTCCCCAATGGACCTTGTTCTTGCTGATCTCATCTTTGGCTGGGATGAGGCCACAGCCCCCTGCAAGGTAGGGCACATCACTCATTGCTTTCTAGATGGCGAACTTGGGCAAATTATTTAACCTCTCTGCACCCCTGTTTCCTCATTTGTAAAATCAGGATAATTACAGTACCTACCACATTTGGATGGTTATAACAATGAAAGGAGTAAAGGGCTTAGAACAGTGCCTGGCACATAGAGAATGACATGTAATTGCTTGTTTAAAAATGCTTTGTATTCCACAACAATGTGCATATACTGAACACTGCTATACATTTAAAGATGGTTAAGATGGTGAATTTTGTTACGTGTATTTTATTTCTATTTAAAGAATGCTTGTTTTCTACAGAGATCAAGTATAACAAAAGTTCAAGGCCGCTAAACTGCTGAGGGGGTGCTCTGGAGGGGACAGCAATGGGACAGCCTGGACAGTCAGGACTACTCCTTTGCCTCCATTAAGTAGGGAGTGACTTGGACCAATGGTGGAAAGGAGCGCAGCCCTACGTTAGAACCAGCGAGGAGTTTTCTTTTCTCCTTCCCAATGCCGCTCAGAGCCCTGCCCACTCCCAACCACTGGACAGATCTAGTTGAGCTGATGCAGGGGCTGCTCTATTGGGCCCTCTCTGCTCCCTGCCTTTTGGAGGATCTGGTGCTCCTCTTCCCATCCGCCTCATCCAGGGTGGAACCTCCTCTCCCCCTTTCCAGCTCCCTCTCAGGCCCTGAGGTCTCTGGGATTCCCTTCCCCTTTGGCAGGTCCCCCTGCTGGGCTTCTGTCCTCCTCGGTTTCCAGCCAAGGGGAGGTCACTTACCCTGGGCCGCTGCCTCCTCCTCCTCCTCTTCCTACTCTCGCTCCCCGTCCCAGGCTGGGGAGCGAGGATGGGGAGAGGATGGCTGCATTCAGTCTGCAAAGGCTGGGCCACGGCCTTGGCCTGGCCCCACAGGATGGGAAGGGTGGTGGGGGTGCGGTGGGTATGGAGGAAGGCAATGGGGTGAAGCAGAGAAGAGATGAGGTGGGAAGTGACAGAGAAACAGAGCTCAAACCTGTGGGCCTGCCAGCCGTGAGGAAGAGAGAAGAGGGTTAACATCAGTTAGTTCAGGTGCAGAGGGGATGGAGCGGAGCAGGGCATGGGGGGCGATGGGGCTCAGAGCTGACCAGGGTGGGAAGTTTGGGAGGGAGGTGGTGAGGGAGGTTGTGAGGCAGAGGGGAAGGGAGCCAGGGAAGGAAGAGGGAGCCCATTTGGTAGGAGAGGAAGGGGGAAGGAAGGCGAGCAAGGTAGGTGGGGAGAGCATGAGGAAGAGGGGCAGAGAAGACACTGGAAAGAAAAATAGAGAGAAGAGAGTCAGTCAGAAGGAAGGAGGACAGGAGAGAGAAAAGCGGTAGAGGCTTCAGTACTGTATGTACAGTGTAAAGTTGGGCAGGGGTATGGAGCAGCTCTCCATGGTCCTGAACAACCACTGCAAAGTGGAGGGGTGGGGTCTGCTAACTGGGACATGGCTTAACCTATGTGACTTCTCCTAGTGCTCTTGGTTTTCCTCACTTCTTTCTTCCTCTAGGCCTCTGGTGCAGACTGAGCTAATCGTACTCTGGCTCATTGCACACTATTGTCATTGGCACTGCTCTTGTTTTATGCATGTATCTATTCCCTTTTATTTCAATACTCCTCACCCCCTCCCTTCTCCTCTAGGGCAATCATTGTAATGTATTCAAAATCATGTGGGTTTAATTTTTTTGCGTATGTGTGTGTCTCTCTCTCTGTGTCTTATATTTATGCAAATAGGATTGTGGTGTATATATATCCCACCCTATTTCTTACTCTTTTCAGTAAGTACTTATTTTTCAGGTTCACCCATGTTGCTTTGTGTGAGTCTAGTCTGTTGCTTCTGACTGATGCCTGGCATCCATGATGGGCACCCACAATGATTTAGTCTCCAATCTCCCAAGGATGGGTGCCCATGTGGCCTCCAACATTGCAGTGAACATCCTCAGATAGTCCCATTATTGACCTGAGAGTTTCCCTGAGAAGTTCTACCTGGAGCAGAATTGCTGGGCCATGAGGTGTGAGTTAAATTGTGTTCAATTGTGGAATGGGTCTAAGTTCCCATAATAGTGTTTGTGGGATCAGATAGGCCCACATAATCACCAATACTCAATATTGTCCAGCATCTAATATCTGCTAATCACATTTGGAAACTGATATCTCACTGCTGTTTTACTATGCATTTCTCTAAACAACATTTTTTAGCATTTAGTGTTAGTCATGTCAGTTTTTCTGTCACTCCCTGGGCCTTTCAGGAAGTACACGTGGCAGGTCCCATGTTCCTCCTTAACTCCTAGAGGAGCAAAAAAACTGAATTGGGAAAAATGGTAAAACCATCAAAATTATAATAAACTGCATAAATCATAAAAGATAGGCCATATTTCTTTTTGTTTTGTGATGGTCTAAGAAAGTCATTAAAGATATACATATGTGTGTGTGTGTGTGTGTGTGTGTGTGTATGTAAATATATATGATTTAAATGGCCAATATACATATAAAGGAAGTATTCAACTAACTAGTTATTAAAGAAATGCAAGGTACAATTTTCCTAGAAAATTACAAACCTAAACACTTTATAATATTTAATGCTGGCAAGAGGTGGTGAGAGGGGCACTCTCATACAACACTGACGGGAACTGGTCAAGGGAGAAGGAAGAAGAGGGAGAGGAAAGGAACAAAGGGAGAGACAGAAAAGAGAGGGAAGGATGTGCTGTCAATAGGGAGAGCAGAGAGGAGACAGAGGAGCAGCTGAGGGAAAGGGAGGTGGGGGGGGGAGAGAGAGAGAGTGAGAGAGAGAGAGAGAGAGAGAGAGAGAGAGAGGGGGGGGGAGGAGAGAGAGAGAGAGAGAAAGAAAGCAGAGAGCAGAGACTGGGGCAGGGAGTCCGGAGCAGGGGTGAATGGGGAGCAGGCCCTTGTACCTGTGTTGATATTCACAGCAAAGGCGTCCTCCTGGTCAGGCACCAGGCGGTCCGTGTCGTCCTTGGCCACAATGCTGACGATGTGGTACTCCAGCTTTGGGTTGAGGTCACGGTCGATGGCCGTGACATTGGCAATGACGGTGCCTGGCTCGGCTGACTCCAGCACGCTCACGGTCTGGATGGGGTTGAGGAACTCGGGGCGGCAGTCGTTAATGTCATCGATAAGGATGGTGATGATGGCCGTGCCAGAGAGAGGAACGGTGCCCCGGTCAGAGGCCACCACGGTCAGCCTGTAGGACTCCTGCTCCTCCCTGTCAATGGTGACATTGCCCACGCGGATGACCCCCGTGGCCGGGTGGATGAGGAAGCGGTCCTGAGCCCCCGCTTCTATTCGGTAGACCAGCTCCCCGTTGAGGCCACTGTCCTCATCTGTGGCTGTGACCTGAAGGACAGAGAATCCTGGGGGAAAGTGGGGAGGAGCTGAGCACAGTGGCTTCTCCTAAAAACATCACAATAACATGCATTTGTTGGCAGTTCACAGGGGACCCTCTCACCACAGCCTGGCAGCATGTATCTTTTATAGACTTTCCATGTTTGCAATTTTGTAGGAAAACAGTACCTTATTTCATTTTACATTCTTTATTTATGAGCTTGAACATTTTTAATAATTTAATGATCAGTTGTATCTTCTGCAAATTGTATGTTTTTGTCTTCTGCCTATTTTTCTATCAATTTATACAAATTATGTAATTATGATAACTTGGGACAAATATCTTTTTTCAGTCTGTTGTTTGCCTTTCCAGTATTGGTTATAATTATTTGAAGTAAAGAAGTGTAAATGTATAAACACCAAAATTTAGTATTTTTCCCTTTTTAAGTTCTGTTTCTTATATGCTTAGAAGTTTCTTATCCTGAGGTCAGATAAATATTCACCTAAAGCTTTTCTTTTACTTTTTATTGTGGTCTACTTTTAAATTTTTTCTTTAGAATGTCTTTGGACTTCACTTTGGTGTTTTATATAGGGTAAGAATCTACACTAAACATTAATAGATGTTTTGCACACTAATTAGTTTTCACTAATGTTTCATTGTATCACATTAATATTATTCTTCAATTTACTGGTATCTGTTTCAGGGCTACTTTTTCCCAGATTGTTTAGCTCATATCATATGGTTTCAAATACTACAGTTCTATAATATGCTTTAATATCAGGGAAGGCAAATCTGGTTTTATTATACTTTTTTCCCCCCAAAATGTTCTCATTCTTCCAGATGACTTTCAGAATAAAATTTACCCCCAAGATCTTATTTGATTTTGATGGGCATCTCATTAATTCTATTTTGACTTTAAAATAGTCTTTTTAACCAGGAACACTTCTCAATAATAATCTCATTTTGCAGACCAGACACTGTGGATCAGACACAGGAAGGGAGGGGGGGCCTGGATCTCCTGACTCCCTCTCCAGGGCTCTCTCCACCCACCCTGCTGCCTGTCCTCCTCCCGCTGGGAGTGGATTCTGTTCCAACCTCTGAGGCTCCAATCCCCACGGACCACCCACAGCTCCTGCCTGGGGCCGGCCTGCTCCCTGCACCTGCTCACCTGGGGGGCAGTTCTCCAGCAGGTGGACGGTGAGGGCAGCAGGGCTGAAGGTGGGCCAGTTGTCATTGTCATCCAGGATGGTAACGATCAGGTCAGCTGTGCCGTTGAGCAGCCCAATGTCCTCAGCCAGCAGCAGCAGCTCCAAGACGGGAGGTGAGAAGGCCTCCCGGTCAATGACCACACCCGACCTCACTGTCACCACGCCTGACGCCCAGGGCCACCAGCCAGGGAGACGCAGAGGAAAGGGGTGCAGGGGGAAAGAGGGCAAGAGCCATCCAGGAGGGTCGTGGGAAGACCAGCACAATGTGGGAAGAGATAAAAGAGGAGCAGAGAAAGCAACAAATGACTTTCTTCCCCAAAGGCTCAACGACCAAAGCTTAGGGAGGTTCCCTCGGCGCCAATCTCCTGGGACTGTCCCCTCCCCAGGTGCCCTCGGCAGGTCTCAGAGTCCTGCCTGAGATGGGTGACCCGAGGCGAGGGATTGACCTGCTCGGCTGAGAGAGGCGCTAGTATGTCCCTCCTTGGTGTCACCTTCCCCCAACTGGTCTACTGTCTAGGACCAGACTGATGTGACGTGGTCTCTGGCGACCTTTGGGGTGCTTTGGGGACAGAGCTTTGGCTGCTTCTGGCTGACTAGGGGCCTGCCTCTGGCTGGGCACAGGGAGATGGAGCAGTGGGTTGGGGGCTCTCTGTCTAGGCTGAGAGTTTATGTATTAGCAGGTCCCTTGTGTTGTCCCCAGGCCTCCACCGGGGTCATCTCACCTGGCCCCAGGTGCCCTAACCCAGCTCAGCAGGGGAAGCCCTAGACCCAGCCCCGGCCCCCTCCTGCTCAGCTGGGAGAGGTGGGCAGGCGCGAGTGCTGGGTGTGCAGAGGCCTCACCCGTACTGTTGTCGATGTCAAAGAGGCCGCTCTGGGCACCCAGCAGCTGGTAGGTCACCACGGCATAGACGTCCAGGTCCGCATCCAGGGCCAGGATGGGCCCGTTGAGCACCGTGAGGGGGGTCCCTGGACCAGGGGGAGAGGGGTCACTGCAGGGCCAACCCGGCCCCCCACCCCGCCCCCGCCCCTTCCCGGTGAGCCATGGCTGACAATGGATGAGAGGGAGGTGAGGTGGACGGGGTGGGGAGGCCCTGGGCCGGCTGCGGCAGCCTTGGCAGACTGACGCAGATGCCTGGGAGCGGCCTCAAAGCCCTGCTGGGGAGAAAACACAACAGTGGTGAGCAAGCGCCTCAGGGCCCCCACGGAGCACGCCTGCCTTCCCAGCAGCCTTTGAGGCTGGCTACTCCGAGGGAGGGTCTGGGGGCTCCCTGACATCCTCTCCCTGTGCATGGGCCCTATCGAGGTATGCATACTCCTCCCAGTCTGTCCACGTGTGTCCACAGTGCTTTATACAGGTGTCTGACCATACGTGACTGGAAATGCATGTGTGTGTGCAGGGCTCTGTTCACATGGCCACGGGGGCACTGCAGGCCTGGGCGCCCTGGCTGTGTGCCTGCCTGCCTCTGCAGGGGGGCACATCCGCACACGGAGTGCACTGTATAGGCACCCACATGCCTATGTGTGTCTGTGCATGTGTGTAAGCCCACATATATGCTTGACGTGAACATGTATTAGCACATGTATGAGCATATTCACAGGCAGGACTAAGAAACAAGTTCACGTAGGGGGGCACCCAGCCAGAGACAGGGAGCTTCTCAGTTCATCTTTTTCTGACTTGGCATCCGAGCTTGGGGGCTGGAGGAAGAGGGAGAGGACCTCCTGGGGGACAGGAAGAAGGAGATTCTGTTGCTCTGAAGGGAGGTGAGACTGCTCAGTGCCTGTGTGTGGGGAAGAGCTCTGCTGGCCTACACAGGCCCTGATTACAGATGCTCCGGAAGCTTCCAGAAGCCTCCAAAATGCTTGGTGCTCCTGGGGTGGACGAGCAGGGAGGATGGGCTTGCTCCCATCCTGGGTGGTCCTCACACCTCACTGTCCCTCTTGAGGAGCATTGGGGCTGCTCTCAGACCACTTTGAGGACCAATGGTCACTTCCAACTACACCTGTGGCCTCTTTGGTGGCCCCTGAGAGAACTGGCAGCCCGGGGCCCACCAGCCCTTTGGAGCTGCTTCCCTCCCTCCCGTCCACACCTTTGGCACCCGCCGGCTCTGTGGTGAGGCTGCCACCCCAGCCAGGCCTCAGCTGGGCCCACCTCTGGTAGGAGGTGGATCCACAGGCCTCTGGGACCAGGTGGTGCCTGGCAGCAGCAGGAGTTCCCGGGTGGGCCCAGCACCTACCGGCAGGAGAGTTCTCCATCACCTCTGCCTGGTAGGTGCTCTCCGTGAAGAGGGGGTGGTTGTCATTCTCGTCCGCAAGGAAGATCAGCAGCAAGTCAAAATCCTGTGGGAGGCATGATGGGGGCAGGCTGTAGGCACGTCCTAGCAAAGTGCTCCGAAGGCCGAGAGATGTGAGGTCAGGGCACAAGGTGGGGAATAAAAAAGCCCATCCTGGGGGTCTAGAGACCTGGGTTCAAGTTCCTGCTGTGCTAGCAGCTCTTTGCACAGCCTTAAGCAAATCATTTCCCCTCGCTGGGCCTCAGTTTTCCAATCTGGCAAATGGGATCTTAACTCCTTCACAGAGGCGCTGTGACGTTCACAGCAGGAGGGGTGAGTACGGCATTTAATCAGGTCCATCTCTTGGCAAGAAAGACTGCAGGCAGCAAGATGAGTGGTGGCTTTCAGACCTCCTAGGCCAGCCTGATGCCCTATCAGAGTTCACCCACACTCGCACCAGGGCTGCACTTCACGTTTTTAAAAAACCAGTCATAGTTCTGATCTCTCGGAACCTCCACTGCGGAAGCAAGGAAACCAAGGCCCAGAGGTGACTGAACTGCACGGCAATTAGCAGCAGAGGGGGGACCAGCCCCCAAGCCTCCTGACTCCCACCACTCAATGCCGCTGCTTCCCAGCGTGGCCCAGGCCCTCCACAGCGCAGGCAGAGGCGGGGAGTGAGAGCAGGAGAGGAAAGAAGGGGAGAGGAAGTGGGAGAAGGAGAGAGAGGAGCACAGAAAGAGAGAGGCCAGTGACTTACAAGTCTCCTCGGCCTATACAGATGGGGAAACTGAGGCCCAGAAAGGGTAGTGTCTTGGCTGAACCATGCAACTAGTCAGAAGCAGAGCTGGGCTAAGCCAGACCCAATGGCTCTTGGTCAAGGTCGTGCCCCAAGGTAGTGTCTTGGCTGAACCTACCCCCAAAGGGACCGTTTGCTTGCAACACCCACCTCCTCTTAGTTCAGAGAAACCATTTCTTTGGCTTTTGAGGGAAAAGCCACCCTTTCAGGGGAAATGCAACCTTGCCAGCACCCCAGAGCCGTGTCTGTGCGTGCACGCAGGCCACATGCACACACAACGGTGGTGTGTGCCCAAGTGTCAGTGGTTTGAGGGGAGACGATGGCTGAGTTCCCGGAGTGTTTGCCATGTGCCAGGCACCAGGCTGAGCACTTTGCAGATACTGGCTCCTTCGAGTCCTCTCCACAACCTTGGGGGCATCATTTTGCAGAAAAAGAGAAACTGCCTGGCCAAAGTCACACGCCCGCTGACAGGCAGGCCTGGGATTTGAACCCAGCACTTGCTCACTCCAAGGCCTGTGCATCCAACCCCCTGGCCAGGTTGCCTGTGCGTCTCAGGCGCCCGGCTGCTCCCCCCACCTCACCATGCCCTCCAGCCTCACCCTCCTGGCTATGCGCGGGTTCTCCGGGTTGTCCTTCACGGAAATGGTGAGCTTGTACTCTGGGATCCGCTCGCGGTCCAGGGGCCGGTTCACGGTGACGATCCCTGACTGGGAAGGGGAGGGCTGGTGAGTTCAGAAGCGACCTGTTCCCCACTTTGAGCTCTGGCCACAGATGCCCAACTGCTCTGCCTGCGCTTCAAGTGCCTGTGAATTCCCTCCCTAAGTCACCGCAGACATGGTCTCTAAGGCCAAAATGGGCCGGCAGGGTCTCGCCAGGGCAAGAGCGACCCCCCCAGCGCCCAGGTGCTGCTGTCTCAAGGGGAAGGGGCCTCTGAGGACCCTGTGATGCCAGCAGCTGGTAACACTCCAAGATGTCAAATGAGCCAAGTGGTACTGAGGCTCTGGCCCCATATCTGCACATGCTAAGCCTTGGGGGTGACGGGGACCCCAGAGATGGCTCAGCTGGGAATCTCAGGTTCCATGCTTCCCACCGAGACTCTTGAGTCCTAGTGGAGGAAGGAGGCTCGAGGAGGAAATGGAACCAGAAGGAGACCAGACAGCGGTGTAGGAAAGCCTCTAGGGCAGGGTCCCCCTTTTTAGGAAAAACGCTGGGGACCACCCTGGGTCAGTTCCGGCCCTACCGTGGCATTGATGGCGAAGGCCCGCTCCCGGTTGCCTGCAGTGATGTTAAAGGTGAGGAGGGCATTGCACCCGCTGTCAGCGTCGCTGGCCAGGATGTGGGCGACGAAGCTGGAGACGGGGCTGTTCTCACTGATGGTCACGTTCATGGGGAGGTTCAGCAGCACAGGGTCGTTGTCATTGATGTCCAGCACCCGAATCCCCACCAGCATCTGGGGCGCGTCAGGGGAGGAGGAGAGGAAGAAGAGGTTAGGAGAGAGAGAGGGAGAAGGAGGGATGGTGGACATGGTAGCCAAGGAGCAGGCGAGGAGTGAGGCAGGGCAGGAGAGCGAAGGGGTGGTGAGGGAGGAAGGAAGGTGCAGTTGAGGACCATGGAGAAGACAGAGAAGGAGGAAGAAGAAAATGATAATGAACAAGGCAAGGAGATGAAAACGAGGGTAAGAGGGAAGCAGAGAAGGTAGAGGCAGAGGCGAGAAGGTAGAGGCAGAGGCGAGCTGAAAGTGGCAGCGGCAGCGGCAGAGGCCCGCTCACAAGGCGGCCTCCCCAGAGAGCTGCTGGGGGGAGACAACTTGCAGTGGCCATGGCTGCCGGGCCCCAGGTCCAGCCCCCCTGGGCGAGCCCCAAGATCCACTCACAAGTCTGTTAGGGGCCCTGAGAGCACGTGGCCTCTCTGGGCTTGGAGACAGGAGTCTCCATGGAGAGTTCAGGGGGCAGCAAGGTAAAGCCAGTAGAATGGGGGCCCCAGACTCACCGTGGAACTGAGTGGGGGCACCCCCCTGTCTCGGGCACAGATGGTCAGGTTATAGAAGGCAATGGTTTCCCGGTCCAGCTCCACATCCTTCCGGACCCGCAGCACACCCTCCACAGGAGAGATCAAAAACTCCCCTGGGTGCCACCCAGGAGAGGCCAGAGTGAGCCGGGAATGGTCAAGAGTGGCGGAGAGCCCAGGCCTGTCCCGCTTCCTCTAGCAATGCCCCAGCTTCGGATCCTCCTGGGACCTGCCAAGGTCTGGCAAGTTCAGGAGGGAGGGGGACAGATAACTGCTGGGTGCAGGTGGGTCTGGGCCCGCTCAGGCCCTGATGTGCCTGAGAGGCCGGGCCAGTTTCCTTCCTGGCTCATGGGCAGGCCAGGGACTAACTCTGGATAAGATGGTCACATTGAACAAGTGGGCTTCAGTAAGGTTGCAGGATACAAAATCAATAGACAAAAATCTGTTGTGTTTCTATATACTAGTGATGAGCTATCAAAAAGAGAAATTAAGAAAATAATCACCTTTATAATTGCATCAAAAGAATAAAATTACCTATAAGTAAATTTAACCAAGGAGGTGAAAGACCTATACTTGAAAACTATAAGACTTAATGAAAGAAATTGAAGATATAAATAATTGAAAAATATCCTGTGTTCATGGGTGAGAAGTATTTATATTGTTAAAGCATCCATACTACCCAAAGCAATCTACAGATTCAATGCAATCCCTATACAAAATTCCAATGGCATTTTCCACAGAAATAGAATAGACAACACTAAAATTTGTATGGAACCCCAAAAGTAATTCATAGAAAGAACAAAGCTGGAGGCATCATGTTCCCTGATTTCAAACTATATTACAAAGCTATAGTAATCAAAACAGTATGGTTTGGGCATAAAAACAGACATAGATCACAGAACTGAACAGAGAGCCCAGAAATAAACTCACACAGGCATGGCCAATTAATTTATGACAAAGGAATGAGAATATATAATGAAGAAAGAACAATCAATGGTGCTGGGAAAACAGGACAGCCACCTGCACAAGAATGAAATGAAACCACTAGGTTGCACCTTACACGAAAATTAACCCAAAATGGATTAAAGGCTTGAATGTAAGACCTGACACCATAAAACTCCTAGAAGAAAACATAGACAGTAAGCTCCTTGACATTGGTCTTGACAAGGAATTTTTGGATTTGACACCAAAAGCAAAGGCAACAAAAGCAAGAATAAACCATTGGACCACATCAAACTAAAAAGCTTCTGCACAGCAAAGGAAGCCACCACAATGGAAAGGTAACCTACTGGATGAGAGAAAAATCTTTGCAAATCATATATGTGATAAGGGGTTAATACCCCAAATACATAAAGAACTTATTCAACACAAGCACAAACAACAACAAAAACAAAACAGAAAATGAAATGGGAATCCGGAGAAAGGTGATGACGTATCTAAGCTCTCCCAGCAAGTTAACAACAGACCAGGATTCCAACCCAGGGCTCCGGGTCTCAGCTCACTGCATCCCATGGGACTTGGAGTCTTTCCAGACAGTCAGGGCTGAGCCAGGTGGGAGGTGGGGGAGGGAGGGTGAGAGCAGGGAGTGGGTACAGGAAAAGAGCAGAGGGGCAGGTGGGAGCCCAGCTGAATAGACGAAAGGGGAGGGACAGTGAGTCCGAGAGGTGGGGAGAGCGTGAGGAAGAGGGGTTATCTGTGTGAACTCCTCCAGGAACCGGTGACAGGGAGGGTTACTTCCTTCACTTTCCCTTTGGTACCTGGGCAGAGTGGGGCACTGACTGCTCAGGAACACGCAGCACAGGAGGGCACAGCAAGGACAGAGGCCCAGGCTCTCCCACAGTTTCCTCTGCCTGCCCCTTCTCATCCTCCCTCACCATTCCCTGCCCCCAGCTCCTATTGCTCTGATGTAAAAAACAGCCTCTTCAAGGCTCACCTGCAGCTGGGATTTCCCGCCAGCTCTTCTGCTCCCAGCAGCCTTTTAGACTGCGTGCAGCAGGATTTCCTGAGCCCGATACTCCACGGTCTCCAAGAACTGAGGATTCCCTTCTAGGGGTTTCCGGGCCCTGTCTCAGCCCCTGCCCATGTGTAAGCAGATGGCCCCCTCCCTCTCTCCAAAGCCAGCCACCCCTTGAAAGAAGGGAAGGAAGAGGTTCTGAAGGCTCAGGGGGGCAGGCCTGAGGCTCTGGGAGCTGGGCCCAGGCTAGATTCCTAATAAGTCAGCTCATTGCGGGAAGTAAATAGGCTAAAGACCCCTCGACAGTAAATCCTCCTCCTTATCCCCGGGGCCTGAACTCCCTGCCGCTCCCTCCTTCCGGAGTTGGAGGTTAAAAGCAGAGACTCACCACCTGGTCATACACAGATCTGCATCCTGATTTCATTCCTGTGCTCTTGGCTATGTTACCGAGTCCTGCCTTGATGTTCTCATCTGAGAAATGGGCTAATGAAGAGATGCCACCACAGGTTGTTCTGCTGCTGGACAAGTCTGTTCCACGTGTGTGCTAGATCCATGGCAGCCCTGGGTACCACTAGGGGCATTCTGAAAGGCAGCCTAGGCATAATGCTCAAGGAACTGGGGGCTTTGGCGGAGGATGGAGATGTAAGAAATGGGTCCCAGGAGTGGGTCTGACCAGAAGGGTTAGCTGAGAAGGTTGGGGTTGGCAGGAGAGGCTCAACTAGGCGTGGCCTATTCCCCAGCTGTTTTCCTCCTCACGCCTCAGGGGGGCTTGCACCAGCCTGTCATCCCCATGTCTGTCCCCCACTGACAGGAGCTCCCTCCAGGCTCAGGCTGCAATGGGGGAAAAGTGACTTTGGGCTGTGTAGCCTGGAGCATGTCCCTTCACCCTTGGTGTGTCCCTACACCCGCTCTCCCAGAAAACAGCTCTGATTTATAGTGTTTGTCAATTTTTCCAGTTACCAACATGGTGTCACTAAACCCGGAGGGGAGGCGGGAAGAGATGTGGGGAAAGGCTAGCATGACCTCGTGAGCACACCCTTAGCTCATCGCTTATCTCTTCTGACACGGGGCAGCGCTCGGTGAGCCTGAGGTTATCGCTGGGCTCTGAATGTCTGCTCTTCCTTCCTGGGGGGAGGGAGCCAGGCTGCTCAGACCAGGGAAGTCCCTGCCTCTCTCCCTCTGCCCGGGACCCGCCTCTCAGGCTTCTGGGACACGCAGGAGACCCCAACTTCCGAAGGCTGACCCTGGTCACATGCGGACTTTGCTCATGACACCAAGGGCCTATGGCATGGATCAGGACACAGTTTTCTGGGGCACAGGTATGCCCTGCACCCCAAAGCTGGGTGCAGAAGGCCTTATTGGGAGGGGGCTCAGCTGCCCACCCAACACCCCCCTCTCAACTGGGCTTTGGCATCCTCCTGACCAGGAGCAGGACCCCCATGAAATTATAAAACCTCTGTGTCTGTGAAAACGGCAGAGGAAGACCCTTGCTCAGTCCCTGGCCAGAGAGGAGACTTTTGGGAGATGAAAGGTGGCAGGCATGTCAGAACTGTGACCCACGGGCTCTGGACAACAGGGGCCCCAGGTCTGGTCTAATAGAGTGAGTTTGTTTCTTTGCCTCTTTTTTTAATTCTCACCCAAGGATTTTCATGGATTTTCAGAGAGAGTAGGAGAAGGGAGGGAGGGAGTGTGTGTGTGTGTGTGTGTGTGTGTGTGTGTGTGAGTGAGATAGAGAGAGATAGAGAGAGAGAGAGAGAGAGAGAGAGAGAGAGAGAGACATTGATTGGTTGCCTCCTACACATGCCCCAATAGGGGCTGGGGATTGAACCTGCAACCCAGGTATGTGCCCTTGACCAGAAATTGAACCCGTGACCCTCTGGTCTGAGGGCGGATGCTCTAACCACTGAGCATGCCAGCCAGGGCTCTTTGCCTGTTAATTGCAAATTCGCCCCAGGTTCTTAGTTCTAGCCTTGGACCTCTCCTCTGTTGGCTTCCTCAGTGTTCTCTCATCTGGTGGCTTTAAATATCTCTGTGCTGGCAACTCCCAAATACCTCTCTCCAGCCCAGACCTCTCTCCTGAACTGGCTTGTACATCCACCCTACCCGACACCTCAGCCTCACCTCACCTTTCCCCCTACACCTGCTCCTGCCTCAGTCTTCCCATCTGTTCATGGCAATACCCTCTCTCCAGTTGCTCAGGCCGAAACCTTGGTGTCATCCTTGACTTTTCCTCACATCCAATGTCGAATCAGTGAGCAGTTCCTGTTGGCTTCACCTTTGAAATATATCAGAGCCGACCACCTAGACCAGTGATGGCGAACCTATGACACGCGAACTCATTTTTTTGGTTGATTTTTCTTTGTTAAATGGCATTTAAATATATAAAATAAATATCAAAAATATAAGTCTTTGTTTTACTATGGTTGCAAATATCGAAAAATTTCTATATGTGACACGGCACCAGAGTTAAGTTAGGGTTTTTCAAAATGCTGACACACCGAGCTCAAAAGGTTCGCCATCACTGGTCTAGACAGTGCCACCACCACTCTGGTCCTGGCTACATCATCCCTTCTGAGCACAGGAACCACAGTAGTCCTGTCAAAATCTAAGTCAGCCCTAGCCGGCTTGGCTCAGTGGATAGAGCATCAGCCTACGGACTGAAGGGTCCCAGGTTTGATTCTGGTCGAGGGCACATGCCTGGTTGCGGGCTGGATCCCCAGTAGGGGGCTTGCAGGAGACAGCCAATTGATGATTCTCACTCATCATTGATGTTTCTATCTCTCTCTCTCTGAAATCAATAAAAAATATATTTAAAAAAATCTAAGTCAAACCGTGTCCCTCCTCGGCTCAAAGTCCTCCCATGGTCCCCACATCACTCAGATCAAGTTTTAATAATAGCCCGCAGGGCCTAACAACATCTGGACCCATCAGCTCTCTGACCTCATCTCTTCCTACTTGCCCCCCTGATGGACTTCATGTCAGCCACATGGTTTTTTTTGCTTGCTGCCAGGCATGTTCCCACCTCAGGGCCTTTGCAATCGCTGTTCCCTCTGCCTGGGATGCTCTTCCCTAGGCGTCCACATGACCCACTCCTCCCTTCCTTCAGGTCTTTGCTCAAATGCCACCTCTTGGACAGGTCTTCCTGGAAACCCCATCTGACCCTGCAGCCCTCCCCCTGGCGCTCCCCATCTCCTGGCTTTATATCACCCCAGCACTAAGTCATCTGCTTCATCAGTTATGCTCATGGCCTGTGGCCTCCACCTGGAAAACATGTCCTACAGGGGCAGGGCTTTGCATCTGTTTCGTCCTTTCTGTATCCTCAGCACCTGCAATATGACTGGCATATGGTATGTGCTCAGTAACTATCAAACGATCAATTAAAAATCTGGATGTTTTACAAAGATTTAAATTTCCAATTTTTTTCAAGTTTTCTTTTAAAAATGGGAAGGCCTGATACCCAGGCTGTAGAAATGGGAAAACATGATAAAAATAAAACAGACAAAAAAAAAAAAAAAGGAAGGAAGACATGGCTACAATTGGCAGGAGCTGAGCGGCGGCTGTCACAGGGCCCCCCTCCTACTCCCCATTGTCTTGCCTAGACCCCTTTTCTCATATATGTCTCCTGCATAAGCCTAGAAGGCCTTAGGGTTTGGGATTCCTAGTCTACAGAAATGAGTGAAAACCACCTTGAGAAAACTCTCTCTGGCCATAAACTCTGTTCTTCAGCGGAGGAGACCAGCCACGGTTGCTGTGAAGGCCATGGCTGGGTGACGATGAGACGTGCAGAGAAATCCCAGGGCTGAGTGTGTGCATTTGGGGGTGTGGGGGAGGATGGCTGTCCTTCCTCTACCTGAGCCTATTCTCTGGGTTTGACACAGGCGCATTTTCTGTTTGATTCTCCAAGAGTCTGTGACGCTCCAAGGCTACTAGCCTCTGTTCCCAGATTTCTGCATGTTCTCACCATATCCATGTGAGATCATTTTCATCATCTCCTGGATGGGGAAACTGAGGCCCAGAGAAGGCAAGATCACACAGTGGTGGGGCTCACTTTGCTCCTGAGTGGGGGGTCACCAGGCCCTCAGGTTGTGCTGCCCCCACCGCCCAGCTCAGGCCCCACTCACCCAGGGGGTCTCCATCCACGATGCTGTACTCCACCTGACCGTTGGGGCCCGAGTCCCGGTCATGGGCCAGGAAGGTCCACACTCTCGGCCCCGGCTGGCCCTCGGTGACATCAAACGGCCCCTCATAGTCTCGGGGGAAGGTGGGCACGTTGTCGTTGATGTCATTCACGTTCACAAGCACCTGCGATGGGGACACGTTTAGCCAGGCCGCACCTCAGCCCGCCCTGTGCTGGGTGCGGATTCCTCATCTGGAAACTGGACCCAATAATCCTGCCTCAGGGGGCGGATGCGAGCCTCAGACGAGATGTGGACGTGGGAGCCTTTGTAAGCTGTGCACGGTTGAGTCATTGTCATTGTAGAAGCCTTTTTTTGGGCATACTCATATTTTGATAATGATGCTCTGAATTTCTACTTATTGCTACACCACGGCCATTTTACATGGTCTCATTTGCTCCCACACACTGCAATCGCTTTTATTTTCCGATCTCACAGAGAAGGAAAGTGAAGCTCAGGTTGGTTAAGTGACTTGCCCAGAGCCACACAGCTAAGAAATGCAAAATCGGGGATATGAATCCTGCTGGTCTGACCAGAGCTTGTGTTCTCCCCATGAAGGGGAGGAAGGCAGGTATCAGCATGTATCTGATAGAGGCAACCACTCAGAGAGGTTCATTCACTTCCTCAAAGTCACACAGCAAGTTTGGGTGAGCTGCCGAGACCAGGACAGGGCTCTTGGATTTAGGTGCTTTTCCTGGATACTCTTTCCCTACCCCTCTTCCCATCTGAGCTTTCTGGGCTCCATTTCCCCTCACCCCCAAGTTGGGGCTGCGTCCTACCGTGGTGGTGGAGGTGAGGCGGCGGGACAAGATGGGGCACTGGTCCGTGGCTGTGACGATCAGGGTGTAGCGGCCATGGCAGATCTCATAGTCCAGCTCCTTGGCAGCACGGATGACACCCTGGGGGATACATAGAGGGAACGAGGGTGGAGCGATGGGTAGTGAGTCTAGGCCCCCCTGGGGACCAGCTCCTTCATGGGGTACTCTGTGACTACCCCAGCAGGGCGGCATCCCGGCCATGATGGGAAACCCGTGTTGCCACCCAGCCCAGGATTTCCATTTTCCCGCAGTGGCTGCCCCACACACCCCAGTTTCCCTCCCAGACTCCATCTTTGCTGGGCCCCCACCCCACGATGTCACTGAGCTCCCCTCCAATCCCTTTAGCCAGGTGACCCTCTTCTTAGACCCCGCCATCAGCTGCTGACCGTGTGTCTGTCAATATGGAAAGTATCGATGATGTTGCCTGCAATGATGGCGTAGGTCACTGTGCCATTGGGCCCCTCGTCCAGGTCAAGCGCCTGGATGGTGACGAGGCTGGCATTGATCGTGTCCGGCCCCTCATCCAGCAAGATCTCGTAGTGGGGCTGCTGGAACACAGGTGCGTTATCGTTCTCGTCCACGATGGTCACATACACGTGAGTGGTGGCCTGCGGAGAAGAACGTGGTAGGTTCCTTGGTCAGCGGACTGGAGAGGCTGAGGTGGAGCCAGCTGCATGTTCCTCCAGGCTGCACTCACTCAGGGAGGGGGAGAAGGATGGGAGGGAGAGCAGGCACAGGCTGGGAGAGAAGGCACTCACACAAAAGCCATCTAGGTAACCGCTTAGGTACAAGATGCTACTTGCACCACCACCTCTCTGTCCATGTCCATTGCAGACATTACTAATCAAACATGGCACTGCTTAGGCCAGATGTAACCTCAGGATCCTTGTCAGTTCAGAGACGTAGTGATTAAAACTGGCATATAAGAGACCTGGCCCTTGTGGCTCAGTTGGTTGAGTGTCGTCCCATGTTGGTTGAGGTTGCCTGTTCAATTCCTGGTGAGGGCACATGCCCGGGTTGTGGGCTCAATCCCCAATAGGGGGCATGCAGGAGGCAGCCAATTGATGTTTCTTTCTCATTCATCTCTCTGTCTCTCTCTGTCAATAAAGAAACATTTAAAAAAAAATTGGCATCTAAGATGAACCCCAGTAATCACCCCGAGCCCATAGCTTTTCCTGGGCCAGGGCTTTACTGACCCTGAACCTCTACCAGGATTACAAAAGGCAAGTAGGCGTCACCCATGCTCCTGTAAATGCAAGAAATGCCGATCTTCAGCATTTTGGAGGAGGACGACACTGGGTGTCGGGTGATTCCACGGGCAGAATTTGTTGAGCTGTGAGAAACAAAGCTCCCAGAACACGCTTCGCTGCAAGAACAGTTTCTGCCGCGTGCTCTCCTGCGACTGGCCGTTGTTGGCCGATGCTTGGACCACATGTACTAGGTAGACACCTGGAGCTCGGCGCTCAGCACCACGGAGCAATGGTTGATGCGGCACCCCACGAGCAGAGGAGGTACATGGAGACAGAGGTTAGCCATGTGCTGGCATCTCTGCTCCTCGCCCCGTCCCTTCTCCGTTCTCTGCTTCTCCACCTGGGAGGATGGCCCTGTGGACTGCCTCACCTGGGCTCCCTTGCCATCTGCTTCCAGATGGGTTGGACCGATGGGAGGTCCTGGCAGAAGATGTGGGGAGGGAGGAGAGAGAGATGGGGTGTTTCTCCCCCACTCCTTCCTTTCCTCGCTCTAGTTCCACCAGTGGCTGTGTTTCTCCTGCGGGGCGGCCCCCTTTTACAGCTCCAGCTCTCACTGGGCTCCAGTCACCTCACCTCCTCTTGCCCTGTGGCTCTGTGAGAGGTAAGGGCTTCCGGCAGCTGCTGGTCTGAGGGGCGTCACCCGCTCTGTAATAGGCCTTCTATTAAACCACCTTCAGTTGAGCCCTGAGTGGCTCTTCTCTTTACTACCAGGACCCTGACTAATACAAACCATTCTGTCAGCACAACTCTGCCACCTTGCAGGAAAGGGCCGGATTCCAGCCTCAGCCATGGCTCCCCACTTTCCCAGACTCCGGGAAGCGAGTCTAACAATCTGCAGGGGCTGGGAGTGGCGCGTCTAACGGGGCTGCCCACCAGCCTCTTCGCTCTGAGATCAGCCTGAGCTTGGGAGGGGAGGGGGTCTGATTCCCTCTAGTCTCACGAGGAGGAAGTTAATGCCCCAAAGGCCCTTTCAGCTGAGCCCTTCCTGCCTTGGCATTGAGAAAACAGTGCTTCAGGTTTCTGGACCATGTCCACACCTTGGGCAATGCCCTGTGTCTCACCCCGCTGCAAACCAGGAAGCTCAGCTGGTGGAAGTGTGGGGAGGAAGGAAGTGGAGGAGAGCATCATGGGTAGCTACTCTCAGGTGGTCTAGCCCTCTCGGGGTGGGGGGGGGGCTTGGGAGGGCACTGCTCCCCTCCCCATAGTTCCAGGCTCCCCTCACCCACCTCCTAGGCCCTGGGGCAGAGGGAGTCTGCTTTCAAGGGTGGTTTGGGCAAGCCCAGGCCAGGAAGAAATGGAGGGGTTGGAGGCAGGTGCTCCAGGGTCTCACCCTTGAAGGACCCCACCTCTGCTAGAGGATGGCCAGGGTGGGAAGAGGGCTCAGGACCCACCTGATTTCAATGGGCTTGGTACCTTCTCTGGGTGGAAGAGCTCACCCTCTGCCAGCAGGAAGGGCCCTGGGCTGTCTCCTGGAGTGGGGTCGTAAGATCAGGTTCATGATCAAGGATCTGCTTATGTGCTGGTAATCTCTGGGCCTTCCATAGCAGGGAGATTATCAGTCCAGGGGGACTGGGCCTGCACAGGTCACCTAGTAACAGCACGACACCCACCTTCCTCTGTTGTAGCCTTTCCTGCCCCGGGAGCGAGGTCTAAGAGCCCTCAGAGAGCCTCTGACTCGGATCAGGGCGCCCAGAATTCCCGGCTACTCGTGAGTCCCACTACCATGATTCCCGACCCAGGTGGGCTCTGTCCCTCAGCCCGGGAGTTGCCTGGGAGCTCGAGATCCCCAATGAGCCAGCAGCGCTCCTGGGAGCTTCAGCCAGGCTGGGTAAACTGGTGAAATGGCTGTGCCCTCCCGCTCTTTCAATCCCTGGCTCTAGTCACTGCCACCGCCACTCTCCACTTAGGAACTCACTTACTCACTTATTCGTCACTTTAAACCCCTTCTCCAGGCCCAGTTGTGTGCCAGGGACTCAGGAACATCAAGGAGAGGCCCTCGCCTCCAAACAGCTCATGGTCTAGCTCAGAGGGCAGATGAGCCCCGATGAAATCAACTGGTTGGTGACACCAGGCCCGGTGTGATGGCTGAAGGGATGTGGCTATAAGGACTGGAGGGGGGCCCTCAGGAGAAGGTCAGAGCACTTTGTGAAGGGGAAGGACTTGAGCCGAACCCTGAGGGACGAGAAGACTTTGGAGGAGAGGAGAGAGACATTGCCAGTGGTGCCGGTGTGCTGAGTGGGGTGCGAGAGCAGGGCACTAGCAGTGGGGGGGGGTGCGCGTGCCCCGAGGATGCCCAGGCACAGGAGTGGGATGGTGCGAAGTGGGAAGGGAAGTTGGGGTCTGGGGGGAGAGGGCCCTGGTGATTTTCTATGGGACACAAGACCAGATATTGTGCACACACTACCTGTGTCCTAGTGCAGGGATGTGCCAAGCCTGTTGTGTTCCTGCACCTGTGCCACACCTATGTTCAGTGTGCATGTGCACAGGGTGCAAGCTCTGGAATCTATAGTCAAGTCTGCACCAAAGTTAGGTTTTGTTTTTTCCCCCCATTCATTCCTCAACTAGGAGTGCCTACCACAAACCAGGCCCCGGGCTGGGTTGTAGGAGGTAGGGTACAAGCCCCTGCCCCCCGGCAACGCAAAGGCTGGTGTGTAAGGGCAGACAATCCATCATGCTTAAGTATCATGCTAAGTTACACACGGAGACACTTCTCAGGCGGTGCAACAATGCAATCTTCTCCAAAGAGGAATGGGGGCGAGTACACAGGCTTAAAACTGATCAGGGGGAGCTGACTTGCGGGGACACTGGCTGGCTCTCCTATGGTGCAAGTCAGCGCGAAGCCCCGCCCACGGGGCACTAGGAGCAGTGCCTCCCATGGCCTCCTGGGGGCGCTGCGTGGGGCGAGGGGGCGGAACCGGCGGCTCTCAGGCGCTGGCTGCTTTCACTTGCTACTCCAGGCACTCACTTCACTCACTGCCGGGAGGGTGTCTGCCCTGCAAACCAAGAGTTCGCCCCGGGCGCCGCTCAGCCCAGCCGTCCCAGCCGCTCCACCCGGCCCGACCGACGGTGACATGGGCTTCCCCCCAGTCCCGGAGGCCTGCGGCCGGCGCTGGGGGCCTGTGCTCCTCGCTCTCTTCCTGGCTGCTTCCCGAGGTAAGGTTCACAGAGCCTGGGCACTGGGGCAGAGCACGGGGAGAAGTCAGCGGGTGGGGTGAGTGGGTCGCAGGCCAGATGGGGTACCCTGGGAGCCCCCTTCAGCCTGCTGGACACCCTCCCTCCTCTCCCCCCAGGCAGGGAGGCTACTGGGACTGCTTGGCAGGGGGCAGCGGTGTCTCTGCCAAGTGCCCTGGCTGGGTGGTGGGCACATCTCTATGCTCTGACGGCCGCTCAAGCAGCTGCGGATCCAACTTCCCTGCCCAGGGTGAGAGGAGCTTCTGCAGGACAGGAGATGGGCGCTGCGAGAACAGCCCTGCGAGTTCTAGGGGTGCCACTGGCTTTGACACCTGTGGCATCTCCCTGCCCCTCCGCCTCGGGGTTCCAGGATCTCACAGGGGGCAGGGGGTGTGGTACTCGCAGCCCATGCCCTGTGCCCTGGCGACACTCCTGGCTCAGCCTTGCTGGGCACTGGTCAGTGTGGTCCCGGGTCCACTCCCAGATGTGGGCACCTATCTTGTCCTTATCCTGAGGGTCTGATGGCTGAGAGCTGAGTGGTCAGCTGATTACTGGCATCCAGAGAGGCTGAGCTCAGGGAACATGTGGGGCACGTTCCCAGCTCGGCCAGGAGTGCCTTCTGGGTCCTTAGATAACTTATGGCATCTTTCCGGCCTCGGTTTCCTCAGCTAGAACACAAGGAGGTGCCACTTTCCTCTTTCAAACTGTCGCAGCTCCAGGTGATGTCCTGGCCAGGACACAGGAGCTCCTGGGGGAGGGCAGAGGCCCTAGGACCCGCAGCCTGGCCTCCGGTTCTTGCCTGCCCCGAACTGAAAAGGCTGGATCTCCAGGGCAGAGAGAGCAGCCTGTGGAACTAAACTTTATGGAGAGGGCCAGGGAAAGTGTGAGTCATGCAAGGAGTCAGAGGGAGGCAGGAGGAGGCAGGGAGCTTGGCACAGAGGCCTCATGGGTGGGTCAGAAGAAGAGAAGGGGAAGGATAGGGTAAGAGGCAGAGAGAACTTGGAAAACAAACAGTGCCTGCACGCGGGATGATATCTCAGTACTGTGACGCTGGCCAGAGGCTCTGGCAAGGAGGAGGGAGCCCACAGACAGAGCTGCCTAAACTGCACCCTGGGGGCAGGCAAAGCCATGGCACAAAGCCATGGCTCAGGTCAAGGCTTCCAGGAGGGGCTGGGGATGATGGCAAGCAGGAAGGAGCTCCGTGCTCCAACTGCCCTGCCCCGTCCTCTCCAAGTGACCCTGAGCGGCCCTTCTGTTTTCTTACCTCCCCCCGGCCCTCCCCTGGCTGGGCTCTTCTCTGTTCAGCAGCCCCAATTTGGGAAACTGAGTTCTAGAGAACAAGGGTTTAGGGACCCAGCTTGCAGAGCAGCCAGGAGCAGAGAGGCCCAGAGCCCCTGGCTCTACATTGTGCACGAAGCCAGGAGCCTTCACCCCAGAGGTCTTGCTGCTCCAACAGCTTGGTACTCCACCGCTTCCTGGGCCAGCTCAGGGCGATAATTAGGGCTGGAAGCAGCCTTCCATGGAAAGGAGTCTTAGCTTTGCACTGCTCTGAGACTCAGCATTCTTAACTGCAATATGGGCATACTATTGAACGGCCAAGCTACTGCCTGGTGCCAGAACCAGGGAGATGCCAGATGGGAGGCCTGGTTGCAGGTGTGATCAGGAGGGTCTGTGAGTTGGAAAGACCTGCTCACCAGCCAGCTAAGGGGAGGGCTTGCCCTGGGCAGGATTGTTCAAGTCAGAGTCTTTATGTCTGGAAGGTGAGATGGAGGTGGCTGGTATGAGCCTGTTCTCTAGCTCTGCAGTTGGGCCACCACCCAGGAGACTGGTGGTGGTAGGTATGGTGCTCAGGAGCCCAGGAAAAGTTGAAGATACCCCTTTCCTGGGTCTGGCTCAGGGTGACATGGCTGGAGGGAGGCGCCTAGGAACCAGGACTCAGCAGACCCAAGGGTGGCTGAGCCTCTCCTTCCCCTGTAGGCATTCCCAGGACCTATGGAAGTACTGTCCTTGCCATGTCCTCAGAGGCTGACCTAGGGGTCCCAAACTCTGGGACTAGCACATGGCAGTGCCCTGGGGCCAGGGTGGGGAGACCCCACCTTCCCCTTCAAGGTAAACAGAGCTGCAGGGCCTTGTTGGGTAACCCCATGGCGCAAGTCTCTGATGCAGCAATGGTCAGCTCTTAGGAAATCTACGACCCTCTGCCCAGAGGCCCTGGGGAGGTGAGAAACAGCCGCAGGCCAGCTCATGGGCAGGAGAGAGCACCTACCCAATGCCAGGGGCATCCCACAATACCGGGGAGCCCCTCTCTGAACTGGGCTGGCTGCTCCTGTTTCTCCCTAATCAGGGCAGAAGTTCCCTGGGAGAGGTCAAGGGGGAGGTGCACTGCTGGGAAGCTGCCAGGGCCCCCTCCCTGTCTGCGTGCACACATGGGGCCTACCCGGCCGTGAGCTCTTCAACCAGCACTGACTGAGCCCCACACACAGAGCTGGAGGCCCAGGTTTTAGGCCACCTATTCATCCCGCCTTTGCACCCATAGGTACTTCCACAGAGGTGCCTGTGGATTCTCCTCTGCAAGTTCCCCAGAGATGGGGACTTTCCAGCTTCCAGGCTAATTGGGCTCGGGGTTTGCTTGACTCAGTGGGGTCTTTCTTGCAACTGATCTTTACGTTCATCCTGTTTGCTTTGGCTGACCATCCCCAGAGAGAAAGACAGTGGCCACCATCATGCCCACCAGTAATTCAGTTATTACTGATGAAGGAAGCCCAGCTCTTTTAACCTTCCTACAAGGGATCACATTCCCCACGGGGACACGGGGCCAGGCCCTGCCTCTGCTGTCACTCTGGGACCATGAACACACATTCCCCCGGGATGAGAGCCATGGGCAGGCCAGCTGACGTGGTCTCAGCCAGGCTGCCTGCTGCCCACTCCCTCCCGAAGGGTAACTCTGTGACCGTGTACCCTGAGCTTCAGTCATTAGCTCATCACCTTTGGGATTTCTGCAGAGTCTGCCTATCGTCATTACACTTATTTTTTCTGGAAAACTCCTCATTCTTTTACTCGAGTAAATAGATTTTAAAAGGAAACTTTATATTACTGCCATAAATGGGAAGCCAGTATCACTTGCCATAAATACAACAAAATCATAAAAGTATATAATAGGAAGATCAAATAAGAGTATTAAATTCTAGTTAGAAACTATAGCCTGAGGAAGGCTCCAAGCCCCAAACCTGCTGTCCTTTGCAGAAAACAACAAACAAACAAACAAAAACAACCCCCAAACAAAACCAAAACTCAAGGAGCTCAGCAAATGACAGGTGTTTGGAAGACATATTGGCATCGAGCTGGGACTTTCCCTTTGATGTAATCGGGACCAAAAGAGAACTGAAAAGGAAATAACCTTCTCTCTGCAATTCAATGCATTTAATGCGGTAAAATTAAAGCTACCTGTGCTCGATCGTCAGCTCCGCTCCATCAGCACAGAGGCCAACTCACGCCTGTAAGGAGCTGGTGGCAGAGGACAGCGCAGCTCTCCGGGAGGAGGGGAAAGAGGCCGGCGCAGAGTCAGGGGCCTCTCAGCTTCTTCCAGCCCCCAATTCTCCCAGCCCCTGTTCCTTCCCCAAAGAATTATAGTGCTCCAGCCGGGTCCTTGCCTCTGCGAGGGTCACCTAGCCACCCCAGTAACCACAGGGGGAGAAGGAGAGGGAGAGGAAGCCTGCAGGCCCCAGCTAGGTCCTCACGGGTCAGGCCCCTGTCCACCTGCAGCAAAGAAGGTCAGCCCCCAGCCCCTTCTACACTCTAGAGCAGGGGTGGGGAACCTTTTCTCTGCCAAGGGCCATTGGCATACTTATAACATCATTCGGGGGCCATACAAAATTATCAGCTTAAAAATTAGCCTGCTGTGTTTGGTTAAACATTTAACTAACTCGCCCCTAATGGGGCCAGATGTTCCCCACCCCTGCTCTAGAGGGTAGTCCACGGCACCAGATCACCGGAGCCAGACTACCTGGGTTCAAATCCTGGCACCACCGTTTACTCTTCATGAGATTCTGTGCCAGTTACTTAACCTCTCTGTGCCGAGTTTCCTCATCTGCAAAATGGAGGAGGATTAAATAAGCAAATCCATGTAAAAGAGATTAGAATGATGACTGGCACAGAGGAAGCACCAGCTGCTACTACCCCACTGGGCCGCCAGCACCAAGGGTAGGGCACAAAAAGACTTGAGCCTGAACCTTAGGAAGTCTGGAGGGCAGCTGGCAGGAGCTGGTAGTCTGGGCTGCACACAGTAATCCTCAGGGAGGGCCTGGGGCCGCTGGGAAGGAGTCGCCAGAGAGGTATCCACTGCAGGGTCTCAGGCCCTCCCCAGGGAGGCGTGCTGGCCTCCAGCCTCCAACCCCGGATGCATGGATGCTTTCCCAAGGTGCTGGAAGGGCCGCTTCCTCCAATAGAGCCTGGCTTCCCCTTCCCGGACTCCTTGTCCGATGTGAATGGACACTTCCTGCGGGGGCAGGTATCAATAAACACATCTGAGATGCCCTTTGTCCACGCTGGCCATGGAGTCCCAGGGCCAGACCTGCTGGCTTCAGGCCTCAGCCCCTCTCCAGGGCCACATCCTGGAGTTTAGCACTGGCAGACTCAGCCTGATTGGTCCTTGCCTCTGTTTCCCTCTGTGCTCTGCATCTTGAGAAAGAAGATAAAGCCTCTCACTATACCCTTCGTGGACTATCCTGGGGGGCAGGGCCTGGCGGGGAGCTGGAGACCAGGTCCCTGTTTGTCCTGGGCCCCCTCTGAGGGTGAGGACCCGCCTTCTGCATCTCACACAGGCCCACAAGCGCAGGCGCTCAGTAACTGTTTACTTAGCAGCTGGACGGAGTTCAACCCTTTGGGTGGAGCCTCCAGTGCAAACCAGTCAAGATAGGGACCCACCTCCAAAAGCTGGGGTGTTGGGGTGTTGCCTTAGCAACTTATGCCTCATCAGGGAAAAT